AGCGGGTTGACCGGGAGAACAACTTCTGCAGACCATGTGGATAAGCGGTTGAGATCTTGCTGAAGTAGGCCACAGTCATCGGGAGCGTCGATTTCTCTCCAAATCTTCAGGTCGTCCGCAAACAAGGCACACGGCGACCGGAGAAGTTGCGGTAGATCGTTGATGTGGATCAGGAACAGAGTGGGCCCCAGCACAGTGCCTTGAGGCACGCCACTTGTAGAGGGGTACCAGTCAGTTAGATGGTCGTCGACCTGTACCCTCCACTTTCGTCCAACAAGAAAGTCGCGGATCCACCGGTGCAGTGAGCCACCGACGCCACACATGCTGAGTTTGTGAAGGAGAACCTCATGACTGACCTTGTCGAACGCTTTACTGAAATCGATGAATATCACGTCGACAGACTTCCCCTTGTTTATTGCCTTCAACCACTCATGCCTCGTTACAAGCAGGTTAGTAATGCATGAGCGACCTTGCATAAAACCGTGCTGTGCGGGCGTCAGGACCTCGTTTGACTGTAGCAACTGCAGCAATCTCTTCTTCACGATTTTCTCAGCAACCTTTGCCAATATAGGTGTCAGACAAATTGGCCTGTAATTGTCTACTTTGCTAGGGTCGCCGCCTTTCGGAATAGGCTTCACCACCGCACATTTCCAGTCAACCGGCAACAAACCTTCGGAGAGCGACCTGTTGAAAAGGTCAGTCACGATAGGAGAGAGGATGGTTGAAAGTGACTTGAGAACCAGTGGGTGAAGCCCATCAGGTCCGGCAGGTTTGGTGCCGTCAAGGTTGGCGAGTAGTTGAGCTACCTCTTCGACGCCACAATGCAGACTATCGAGTTCGGTAAAAGCGGTACACGTCGAACTTGGAACAGACACCTGGTTATTCGCAAATACAGAAGCGAAGTGCGCCGCCAACGCGGACGCACGCTCAGAGCTGGAGGTTAGGGGCTGTCCATCCGTGCCATCCAGCACTGGCACATCACCCGCCGGCTTCAGGCGTCGCTTCACGTATGCAAAGATTCTCTTTGGGGCGGTCTTCGCGGCTAATGCGAGCTGCTCTTCAAAGTGTCGGCGTTTATTCTTTTTTGCACTGTTGCAGAGATTCCGCTGACATTTATACTCTTCGTAATCATTGGCAGAGCCAGAGAGAAGGAATTTGTCCCACAGTCTGCGCCGCCTCCGAGCCAGGTTTCTATACTCCTTGTCAAACCAATGAGGCTTAATCGGTCCAACCTTTCGACATTTCAATGGCACAAATTGAGAACACAATAATGTCAATCTCTCTTTTATAAATATCCAACAATCTTCCACAGATGCAGTTTGTGACAGAGACCAATCCAGTTGGCTCGCGGCTCGAGCAAGACCATCGAAGTCCGTTTTCCAGTAGTTGGGAGCTGGTTGCAGCGGATGTGAATACGGCAAAGATAATTCCATATCAGC